TCATAGTGATTCTCCTGTTTACAGCCTCCCAAGAGCTGGGATTACAAGAGTGTGCCACCACGCCCAGTTTCAATCACCTCTCAGCACAGGGCTCCCGGAACAGGGCCAGCACTGCAGGCAGGCCTGGGGATTGAATCCCCGGCCCTCAGGCTGAGTTTGAATTTGAGATTCTCCTATCTCACCCTACCAGAGTGCTAGGATTACAGGGATAAGGCACAACGCCCAGTTATGACTTGAATTTTGTAATGTGCTTCCAGACTTTTTCTACATGCATTCATTTGTATTAAGGATGAAATACTTACAATTCCTTTTTACAGATAACTAAGGTTGAATTTTTCCGTGCTAAAAAACCACACAGGTTACATGGACTCTGCCTGTTGGTTGTGTTTTCCATCCCATCACTGTCCCTGACTGCCTCAGTACCATGAGGGTGGAGCAGTGACACAGACCCTATGGATGCCAAACCTCCAATATCGATCGCTTGGTCCTTTGGGGAATATTTGCCATCTCTAACTGAAAGCCCAGGAAATGTGTCCAGGAGCTTGCAGAGGTAGCTCAGCAGCATAAGCGCCTACCTGGCAAGTGCAGGGTCTCCAGTTCGATCCCCAGGACTCCGTGCTGTGTCAGTCCAGAATTGGATGTGGTAGCGCACACCTATAATCCCAGCTCTAGGAAGGCTGAGACAGGATCATTGTGAGTCTGAAGTGCTTTAGAGACCCTGTATCAAAAACAAAAATAAATCAATAGTATTAAAAGAGACGTTTACAACCACCACCAAGAGAAAGTTTCTGGGTGGTGCTTTAACATTTAAATTGTGTGTCTGTAACAGTTAAGGGAGAGCTTGACGTGTGAGGTGCTCATTTCCTTCTCTTCCCTAAAGGCAATCACCAAGGATATGTTTGAAGAAGCCCTGCGCGCCTTGGCTGATGACGACTTCCTGACTGTGACTGGGAAAACCGTCCGCTTGCTCTAAGGCTGCCGTGAGCCCCGCTCCCCGGCACAGGAGCGCGCCGCCTACGACCCGTCAGCGGCCACCGCCGCCTGTGGGTGCTCAAAAGTACTATCAGCTCCACGATACGTTTCTAACCTGGGTTCAATTTTGTTAGTATGTTTTCGTTTTTTAACATTTTAGGTAAAGCGACTGTACCAATTTCTGAGCTTATCTTCTTGCAGTGGTGGTTTATAGCAGCAGGGCTTTCGTCTGCGCAAGAGCAGCAGCATGTTGGCGGGCAGTCCGGCTCATACCGGACTTGACAGCGGCAGGGCCCTCCCTAAGTGCTTTGCGGTTTTGCAGTAGGACATGGAAGACTGGCTGGGGCGTGCCATCCAGCAGGAGGCGATAGAGGGCTGGATGGAGCCTTTGTCCATTTTTTCTGCACTTGAATATCTTGGAGGTTTTTCTTGCAGCTATTAGATCATGAAAGTGTGATTGGAAATGATTAGGTTCCAGATTATCTTCTGCTTTACCTTGTATGTAAAACTCTCCTAAATAAATAATAGAATAATAAATAATACTTGGCTGTCTTGCCGTTTTTCACTTAAAAAAAAAAAAAAATGCTCTGGTGAGTGTCACGTTCATGGCCAGGCGTGGTGGCCCCACCGGCAATCACAGCAGTTTGGGAGACTGAGGCGAGAGGAACACTTTGCGCTCAAGGCCAGCCCGTAGTGCATACCAAGACCTTGTCTCAAAACGAAAGATAACTACTTCCACTCGTGGTGTTGGTGCTTCAGATGAAAGTTAAATATAATGAATTTAATTTTATTCAAATACTAAAAAAAATAAAAGCATACTAACCAAATGCTAGGAGTCAGCATTAAAATCACTAGCCTAAAAGGGATGTGTCAATGTTACAGTAAATCCCTAAAACAATTACGAGATGGGCCTTTTTTTAATAACAGAATCAATGCTCAATAAAGTATCCATAGAAGATGGCAGCTCTGGGGCTGGGGAGATGGCTCAGTAGAATAAGTGCTTCCCTGGCAAGTGCAAGGGCCCAAGTTCAATCCCCAGTTCTGCCAAAAATAAATAATACTGAAATGTTTACATTTGAATAATTGGGGGATTGCTTTTTTGTGTTTTTATTTTGTAGTGCTTGAGATTGAACCCAAGATTTGAGGGGGTTGGAGAGAGACATAGGATCTTGCCTTATTTATTCAGGCTAACCTTGACCTTGAGCTCACTAGCCCAACTGACCTTGCATTGGCAGATCCTCCTGCCTCAGCCTCCTAAGTGCTGGGATTGCTGATATGAACCAGCATGCCTAGCAGGAGCCAGCTCTTTAGGCCATCTCTTTCACCTGACACTGACAAACAGCACACAGCACCATTGCATAGACCTTTGTGGACCAAGGCACCTGAACATGATAGGGAGACATGCCCCACAGCCAGTCTAGAGCTCTAGACCTGACCTAAAATGCTTAGCACTTAAGGTCACCAAAAAAAGACCCTGCTTTTGGGATTACATAAGGTTCTCATTTTGAATGAGTGTTGTGGCACATGCCTATAATCCTAGCACTTGGGAAGCCGAGGCAGGAGGCTTGCTATGCGTTCAAGGCCAGGCTGAACTTAGTGAGACCTGTCTTAAAAGAAAAAAAAAAACTCAAAAATACATTGGTGGGCTGGAGAGGTAGCTCAGAGTCTAAGCACCTACCTGGCAAACACAAGGACCCAGTGCCTGCCTAAGCTAGCTTAAGCAGGTACTTTAGACCACTGAGCTATCTCTCTGGCCCCCACATAATTTTGTTTTAATGAGATTTTAGTTGAATGAAATTAATGTGTCCTGTGGCTGGCTGGTTTCATCACAGTCTTGGTTCATTCAATAAATTTCTGTTAACATCTATAATCTGTCTATATGTCTTTTGAAAACAGGGTTACTCAGTGCAGTGCCTGGGGCTGGGTGCCTGGGACATAGTTGTAGAGAGAAATTGTTCTGTGCAGGCAGCGTGAAAGAATTTCTTGGGATTAGTGATATCCCAGACTGCAGTGGAGGGACCAAAAGAGGCCTTTGCGTTTCAGCTGTGTCCCCTCACTTGTGACAGTGCCCCCTAGAAGGAGAGCCTCTTACTTCACGGGCTCACTGTACCCCTCAGAAATGAGAGCCTGGTTCCTCTAAGACGGTACAGTTGGAGCTTGATTTTCACAAATGTCTTTTTTTGGAACTGGGGATTGAACTCAGACCCTTCCGCTTGCCAGGGAAGCACTTATTCTACTGAGCCATCTCCCCAGCCCCCACAAATATCTTCTTAAATTCTGGAATATTCTTTGTATTTTTCCCCTCTTATGTTGACCCTGCTTATACAAGCAGTATAAGAATAGTGTAACTTCCACATACCTTATTAATGTTTTATCAAATTTGTTTTTATCATTCTCTAATTTTTTAATAATCAAGAGCAAATTGAAGCTAGGTGATCTTTTATATCTAAATTGTGAACACATGGTATTACCTTACATGACCATGAAACAATTTCATAACAGAAATTTAGCGCTGTGACCTAATTCAGACATTGAGATTTCACTAATTATTTCAGTAAGGTTATTTGTAACAAAAATAAAAACACTTCTGTTTTTGAATCAAAGATACATTTAGTTTTCATGTTCAAGTTCCTTCAAATTTGAACATTCCTGGGTATTTCTTATGACCTTGACTTTATTTTTTTTTTATTTTTTTTTATTTTTTATTTATTTATTTATTTATTTATTTTTAAATTTTATTTGTGTGTGTGTGTGTGGCCAGCTCAGCCCACCAGGGGGCAGGGCCGGCTGGCATGTGGTGCTGGGGGATTGAACCGCGGTCCCTGTGCTTTAAGCTTGTGCTAAGTAGGTGCTTTAGACCACTGAGCCATCTCACCAGCCCATATGACCTTGACTTAAAAAAAAAAAAAAAAACAGAATTGCAATCCTTCCTCAGCTTCCCAAGTGTGAGCAATCCTGCTATTTGACCTTTTCTTTCTTTCTTTTTTTTTTTTTTTGGTGGAACCAGGGATTAAACTTAGGCCCTTGCACTTGCCAGGGGAGCACTTACTCTACTGAGCCATCTCCCCAGCTCCTTGACTTTTTCTAACTGGTTGGTGATCCTTCTGCTTCATCCACCCAGATGCTTTGAGGATTTACAGAGCGCTGCCCTGCAGCACATGCAGCTTTTAAAATTATTTTCTCTCATACTCTGAGTAACTACTGTGAAGATAACAATGTGCAATGTTTTAGTTATTGTTACTCTCCTATTAGCCTGACTTATTTATTTTTTTTCTCATTAAACTTTGTTTTAATAGGTCTCAAAATTCTGTGACAGATTTTTGGTCAAGTTGTTTCCATTAAAAAGTCTTGATTTTAAAAACTAATAACTTAAAAACTGCCACACACACAAAAAAAAGGTCCACAAAACATTCTCCTTTCCTTCTGAAGGTTTTACGATACACTGTTATCATTGACCAGTCTTTCACTATTAAACTTAAATGGCCAATTGGGAGAAACAGTTCTGAGACCGGTCTTCCGCCACTGATTAGGACTGGAGTGGCAGGTGTCGGGGATAATATTCATTTAGCCTTCTGAGCTTTCTGGGCAGACTTGGTGACCTTGCCAGCTCCAGCAGCCTTCTTGTCCACAGCTTTGATGACACCCACAGCAACTGTCTGTCTCATATCACGAACAGCAAAACGACCCAGAGGTGGATAATCAGAGAAGCTCTCGACACACATGGGCTTGCCTGGAACCATGTCAACAATGGCAGCATCACCAGATTTCAGAAACTTGGGCCCATCTTCCAGCTTCTTACCAGACCGGCGATCAATCTTTTCTTTCAGCTCAGCAAACTTGCAAGCAATGTGAGCTGTGTGACAATCCAGGACAGGGGCATAGCCAGCACTGATCTGGCCAGGATGGTTCAGGATAATCACCTGAGCAGTGAAACCAGCTGCTTCCATTGGTGGGTCGTTTTTGCTGTCACCAGCCACATTGCCATGCCGGACATCTTTGACGGACACGTTCTTGACGTTGAAGCCCACATTGTCCTCAGGAAGAGCTTCACTCAAAGCTTCATGGTGCATTTCAACAGACTTGACTTCAGTTGTGACATTGACTGGAGCAAAGGTGACCACCATGCCAGGTTTGAGAACACCAGTCTCCACTCGGCCCACTGGGACAGTGCCAATACCACCAATTTTGTAGACATCCTGGAGGGGCAGCCGCAAAGGCTTGTCAGTGGGGCGAGTGGGTGGGAGGATCTATTAGACTGATTTAAACCTTTCATTTTTATTTTTTCTTTTCTAAAATAAAGATTATTATTTTGGAGATATCTTGCTAAATTGTCCTGGCCTCGATAGAAATCATCTTGTCTCAGCCTCCTCAGCTAAGATTACAAGCATACATCACCATGCCCAGTTTTTTTGGTTTTGCTTTTGTTTTGTTTGACACAGCATGCAGATTGACCTTGAACTCACCATGTAACCCAGGCTGGCCTCTAACTCACAGTGATGCCACTGCCTCAGCCTCTCAAGTGCTGGGGTTATCGGTGTGCACCCCACCTCCCAGCTTCTCAGTTTCTTTTTTAATTGGGTTGCTTGGTCTGAATTTTGACATTCAGTGGCAGAAGTTTATTCTAGACATAAGCTTTCTTAGCTACGTGGTTGCTACGCACTGTTTTCCTGTTCCGTGGGCCAGCTTCCCACTGTTGGCTCAGACACAGAGGTTAAGTGACCCGACGTACCTGGTTTTTATTTTATTGCTTTTTGGTGCCCTTTTATTTTACTTTAACACATCTTTGAGATCTGTCAATATTAGTAAGGAGTTTATTCTTTCTTATAATGGCATATTCTCTGTTTTAAGGAGGTACTTCATGGTACCAAAAAAGAAAATAGAAAAAAAAAAGACCAAAAACCAAAATTACTATAATGTAATGAATCACCTGCTGAAGGGCTCCTGGGCTCTTTCTCTAGTGCAGGGCTTCCAGGAGTCGTTTTGCATCCCCATCTGCTCCTGTGAATGTACCTTGGCTGTAACTTCCTAGCGACAAAGCTGCTGGACCAGTGAGGGTCTTTTGGCTCTGTGGTTTTTGTGGACATTGCTCCATTTCTCGATAACATCATAGGAAACTATTTCTCTGCTAAATCTCCAGCACACTGTGTCAATAAACTTCTAGATCTTAGAAAATTATTACATTAGGTTAGGGGCTGGCCAAATAGCTCAGCACGGATTAAAGTACCTGCAAGCAGGTGTAGGGGCCGGAAGTTTGATCCCCTGGGCCTGCCGTGCGGGCCCCACCCCCAGGGCACACTGAGACAGCAAGTGAGCCTGGGCATGGTGGCATATGCCTGTAATCCCAGCTCTTGGGAGGCTGTAAACTGGGGGAATCACACCACTACGAGTCCGATCTAGTAGTGAGACCCTGAACACCCTGTAGATCCTTCCCTAAAACACACACAAAAAAACGATTAGATTAGTTATGATTTATGTTTATTATAATCAAGTACATGCAATTTTTCTATT